GGGGTGAGAAGGGAGTAAAAGGGCATTTGATCCACTTGGATAAATCAAGACACAGTCCAGAACGAACAGAAACTTCACGGATATGCGATGGATTGCTGAAGAAATTTAGGTCCTCCGGTACGGAGATGGTTTGGTAAAGAGCTATGTCGTCAGCGTATGGAAATAATTGTGCTGGAGAACTCATTCGCTGGTCAGTGATGGAGGTGGAAAACAAGAGGAGAGAAGGTACCGCTCCCTGGTGTATTCCCGAATCGCTCACACGAGCGGTTTAGATGCAAAGCTTACGCTCACATTATCCACATTCCTATAGTTGTTCAATTAATCAATCCCCTTCAAAATGACACCGGCTGTTCACATCTCTGATTCACAGTGTGGTCTAACCATTTTTACCCTATTTGATTTCAATCAAATGATCAAGTAAAAATTTTCGTAGACAGTATTACAAAGAGTATAAAGAAACGTGGATTCTGTATGATCGCCTCGTCTAATCGCTGTGTCCGTCTGATTGCCAAACAAAGCAGGAGATAATTGCTGAATGGGTAAAACATACGAACAAGCATAAGCACTACAGCCCGACAACACTCGAGCGAACACGTCTGCAGAGCTCATCCGTTGACAAAGATGCTGATGAGTACGAAATACCGGATGTTGTGCTCACGAACGCACGCACGCACGCACACGCATCCAATCTCGGTACATGTGCGTGCGTGGGTGGTTTGCGTGCGGCGCACGATCGAAAACTGTAGAGTTGGTTGTTTTTCATACAGAAAAAAAAAATCCACAGACAACACAACGACAGACATTGAGAATGAGAACGTATCACATACACACACACACACAATGATCAGAATAGTGTGCCACCCATTTCCAACTGCGACCATAGATTCAAATGAAAGGTGACGAAAACGCATTATTATCAAAAGGTACTGATGGGACTCCAGCTCCCTTTTTAGTCAAGTGTCGATACCGAGTGGTTGACACATAATAATACGGATGAGAGTTGGACAGGAGAGCGCGAATTTCATAACCATAAGGAGCAAAGTGCTGGAAAATTGCAGATACTGTTCCCAATCCGTTCAAGGTACACGCAAATCTGCATTAACCATTTACATGTGTGTACCAGTGTGCTAAATGACATCCAAGCCTATGAAATAACGGAGTTGGTGGATCACTGGCAGTTCACCAAAGGTGGAGTTGGTCAAAACCTCTGATTCTAAACCAACCACGAACCACACTCACCCACACCTTCCTGGTCGTGGACAGTGGTCATTGGCTCGAATGGTTATCCATGTGCATTGGACACCTTAAACGTTTGACCCCGTCCGAAAGGTGTATGATCCAATCAACTGGACGCAGGCCCCCAAGGGACTGAGGCTTTCACCACAACACCCTGCTGCCTCGCGGGTCAGGCTTCGGTTGTAAACTTCCCACGAAGATTCGACCGCCTGGCAGTATCGCGCCTTCCAGTAGTAGATCATGAACCTTTCTCATTCTTATCAAGATTATGGCACCGTGATCTGCTTGGCACACAGAACTGAACTCAGGCGTGTGGGTGTGAAAATGGAACATCAGGAGAGGAGATCAAAAGAGGCTATCCCCCCCCCCCGTACCGAAAGAGTCCGTGTATTAGACTAATTGGGCCCAGTTACCAAGTCATCGCCATCAGGGTCATATAATTAATCATGTGAAAGTGCTCGGTAAAGGGTTTCAAGCCATTTTCCGGCGGTAGGATTCTCTTGGAAATACGCAATCACACTGAGTTATACGAAAACTTGAGCGCGGTACTTTCTACCCGGAAGAACTCACTATGCGTTGGGCGTGAAGACGAAACCTGACCGGTAGTCAGGTAAAATCGATGTACATAAATATTGTCACCCCCAAAAAAAAACAGCTGTGTATACAGAACTGGATAAAAGGGCGAGTGTGGTAAGAAACAAAAGTCACGTTCAACTGCAGTCGATAGCGATTTCGGTGCAATAGGCTTCAACCAAAGGAACTAGCTACGATATGACAGGGTGTACAGGTGATTTGCAAAGTGTGAGCAAATGAAAAACACGAATAGATATGTATAAGTAGTATATGAATGATACCTATACTCACAGTGTAGATTGGCAAGCAAACCGCGTCGATAAAGTTTACTTGCAATTGTGGCAGTTCATTAATGTGAGTGCGGTCCATTAGTGCCTGACAGGGTTCAGACAAGTGAAAGCAATGATAAATAATGATTAAAAAATTGATTATCAATCAGATGATAATGTGGTTGAACAACGTCGACTTCACACAAAGAAAGCAGATCAAGTATTGCATCAGATATGATCAATAAATACGATTGATCAACATCGATCAACAAAGGGGAAGACGACTGTGCGTAAGATATGATTTTGTACAACAGTTTCTGTAAAATTATCGATTGATTGCGATTTCCGATTCCCGTACAAATCGAGAAACCATTGTGGTTTCTCAGTTAATCATTTAGTAAATTGCCTCTACACATCTATTATTCACCGAATTCTCGTTGTGTCCTCTGAAGGGAAGCATGTACGGTTGTTTATGATCAATAAAATGGAAATGCAGTTTAGCAATGATGATTCATCAAACGGCTAATACATCACATTTGATATAACATCATTTTGTACAGAAAACAGGGAACACAATAAACGAATAGTCAAATGGAGATATCCTTTTTTGGTATCTGTCTCAGTTCTTAGCATCGGATCCGTGTTACTCATCTGAGTTGAGGTGGAAGGCTACAGGAGGTTAAGCGATTTCACAAATTGTTTTAGGGCGCACAAAGGGAATTAGGTAGACCAATCTCAACCGCCTCCGTGGTGGCTAGAATGTGATTTGAATCGGCTTATATCGGCTACCTAAAACACGGTAGAGGGATCGAAATGTTTCACTCCCATTCAGTGTGTGATCGAATTCGACGAGGTGTGAAACAATGGCACATGTAAATAGTTTCAACTATACTAGTGTTCAGTCAGGCTGAATGATGTCCCCGAACTCGTGTAGATAGACGCCCGCTTGTGCGGTCGATATCTGTCGCCCTACAGGAACACGTAAACAGACACAGTCCACAACGTGAGTGGATTTAACGTAGCTCATCGATTTGACCGAGTATTGTCAGTAAGAGTTTGGCATTTGACGGTTTGGTGTGTGTTTGAGGAACTGGGATTTTGGCATAAATTCGCTGATGAGCTCAACACCAGTTATCGCCACTGCCCATTTCGCACAAAGCTTAAGATAGCTGTTAGGTTCATGTATGATGTTACATAAAATGTGATGTAATGGCCAATTGATGAGTCACCATAAACAAACTTGTTGTTCGCGAAACTACAATTTTATTCAATGTGTGCCGCTAATATTTCCCCCGAATCAAATGTTACGGCTGGTGGTGCTGTGGTGCTCTACTTGTGGCGAATTTCGTCGGTGCTGTGATTGCACAGCTCATAACTCATTGGGGCCAAGAAACAGTAAACTGACATGTGGAAAAAAGATAGTTATGTCTGGAAAGCCAAATACTCGACTCAGCTTGAATAAATACATTTAATAAGTAGGACAAAACAGATATACTTCAGTTTCCTACACATGAACTGAAATCAAATGGAAAACATTTATTCACCGAGATTTTAAAAGGCTCAAATACATTCCGCCCCGCCCCGTCTTCTCCTCCTCCTGCGCCTGCTCCTCAATCGCGGATTGTCGCCCTCCGTTGTCCGTTGTCCCCAGTGAAACGGAGTGACCTGACTTGAATGCGTTTGTCCAACCAGGCCAATTACCCACCCCACCCTAGACAAACTGGACATGAAGGAAGACAATACAAGTGAGATGGGAGATGCATCCTAGATGCCCGAAGTGGACAATACGCAACTGGTCGGTTTAATGACCCGAGAGGCGGGGCACATTTGAAAGGAATAGGCGGTGCCTTTCGGAAACACGTAGATAAATCCGAAATCAAATACGCATAGATAGAGCGAATGTTCCCATTCACTGTGAAAATGAGAATGTTAGCTTGTAGTGCCCCGGTAAAATCACACAAAAGTTATGTGTGTGTGTGTGTGTGCGTGTAGACGATGGTGAAACAGTTTCGCATTAGGGCGAGGCATAATTAGTTCAACTGAACTAAAAAGTCGCGA